GCGCTCGCTGCTTATGGTCTCCTGCTGAAAACATGGGACTCGGAGAAAGCCCTAGCACCATGATCATAAGATCAAGACGACATCGGGTCCAGGCCTACTTGCATACGTTAACCAATACTGCTCTTCAGAGACCAGCAAGCAGTTGCTCACGGTTGATGTTATACGCAATCAGTCTGATGAAGTAATTACCAGTCCTGTAACACAATGGCAAGATCCAGTGGATGATCTTTTCGGAACTGCCTGTTACAGCTCGAGCAAATTCGCCGCGGCGTATAGGCTATCTCGAATGCCCTGCGAATATCTATGGTACGCTGCATACGCATAGGGCCACTTGTTGGTCTCCACTGGTCATCCAGCCATTTTCGAGCGGTTACCGGGATGTTGCTGTATATGACAATATCATGCGGTGATAAATCCGAGCGAACCCATACTTTTAAACGACCCAGAGAGCGACTCGGCAACTGTTCGACATATTGAATGGTCTCAGAGGTTATGCTTGGTATACGGGGGGTTCGTGGTGATGTGCATTCGTGTCGTTGTAGACATCTCCATCTCGATATCTCGATCGGTTGAGTTGTTGCGTTGTTACTCTTCACCAGCAAGATCGCAGCAGGTTCCGAGTCCTACTGGAGCTCCGCTGGTTTGAAGAATGAGGACATGTGTATACCATTGACATTGAGTTGAACACCTCCTCTGCACTTCTGCGACCTCGGCTGGCTCGGACGTGAATTGTCAGAGACGAATCATCTCAGACGGTGTAACGCAACGAATCCGATAGACGCATTGCGTGACCTGTCTTCTCTTTATATTGCTGCCTCGGACGAAAGCATGGATACATGAACCTCTAGGAAAATAGGAAGCGGCAAAGTACGTTCAGCCAAGAAATGACCTGGTATTTATTGGTGGGGTGAGGGCGCTGGATTCTGAGATTCAACGTCACTGTCGCCCTTTCATGGGTAGAGCCTGATCAAATATCCGAGTGATGAGCTATATGTAGCATTGCCTGTGTGCACTCACATCAGATTGTGTTGGGTTGTTTCGAAGCGTTCTGAGGGCTTCGCAAGTTACAGCGACGTTGACAATCGCTATGTTGACTGTATATTGCGAAGGTCGCCTCTGCTTTTGCGATTTCTTAGAACGCTGTGGTGCTGCCCAAGCATCTTCGTAGATAGGGCCGGCGTGAGGTTGCGGTGGATATGTAGAGATGCACAATCTTCCGTTCACGCTTTGTGAAAGACAGACGCCCCTGCGGACTTTTCGGGAGTGTTCTATGTAATAGAACGTGGAACGTTGCTGAGATGCCGACAGTGTTCTTCGAAACCCTCCACCACTGCCACCGCCATTCGGAACACGAGGTCAGAAGCCACAGAAGTGCACAAGCAATAATGGTTGCAGTGGCACCAGACAAGAAAGCTGCTGGCATTTTCGGCTCCCAAGAGAGGTCGAAGGATGCTTCATCTTATATCAGATGAGCATGCCACGGTTTTCGGCGACGAGGTTGGAGAACGGAGACGAGGATCATCAAGATTGAGATGTTCTGGCATGATCTCGATGCTGTGGATTGTTCGGGTCTGTTGTGATTCAAATCGAGGGAGAACAGCAACGAATCAACGATCGATCGGCTGTCCGCATTCGTCAAATTTGATCAAGATGATGGTATTGTGGTCCAATCTTCGGAAGCGACATTCGTTGAAAGCGACATGGTTCCGGACACTGCATGCGTGGACTGCAGCAACGAGGTTTGCATGGCTACATCGTCATGTTTTATGACGTTTACTGGTTTTTATTGACGAGATAGTACTGTACTTCGGTGAACTGGTGCTGTTGCAAACATTGAACAATCCAGTCGCATCACTTTAAAGCGTGGAGAAAACGCAGGGGTGCGTTACGACTGCGGTGTCAAGGTGTACATTCTCTCAGAGCTGTCAGAGATGGTTGGAGAAGTCGAAGTGGCGCGTGACCGGATCACAGGTACCATATCGAGACGCTGGCATCAACATTGTTCTTCTTTGACTGATGTTGCCTCATTCCGGAGACGAGATCTGATCATCAAAAACAGTTGGTGACTGGTATGGTCAACGATATCGTGCAGGGTGTCCAGTGGTCGGATGCATTGAAAGAAAGTATTGTGTCTCGGTTTACCGACTCCAGCACGGTGCTAACTGTGCTCTCCAGCTGCAGCTTCATGGTGTCCCATTTTATATCAGCCATATTGGCAAGACGCCGGATGTGATTTTGTTGGTTATTATGCTGACTCCTGAGCTCTGGAAGTGTGGGGGCGAACGGAGCTGTGAATGATACTACAAAAGTTGACTATTATCAAGATAGACAAGGTCATTCTTGTAGTTATAAGCAGAAAGGAATATGATGGGCAGTAATTCGGTGCCTTTGGTGCTTTGCGGTAGACCGATCTCGCGAGGTGGTGGGATGATCCTTTTCGTAGTAGACTGTTACTACAGCGCTGTGGTTTTCCTATAGCCAAGCTATGGCAAAGGCATAGTTGTCATACTCTATGCGGACTTCCACGTCTGTGTGAGACCCGCGCACAAGAACGACAACAAGATGACGAGTCAGAAGATGATGAGAGTTATTTGACGAAGCGTCTCTACCGACTGTCCGCGGACGGTGAGAACAGAGAGACAGAGAGGCGGAGATGTTCCATGGTGCAGACAAGACTGATTTGAAACCAGAAACACCTTCCCGGATGACAAAGTGGCCAAGGACACGCTGGTGCTGAGGGAGAAGAGAAAAAAGAGAAAGATGAGTAGCACTGTTGCATGAATCCAAGCGCAGTCTGGGGAGTTTATAGCATTCGGAGCGTTTCCGCGGAAGCCATGTTCATCGACAACCCATCTTCGCCAAGTCCTTTGTTAGAAAGACTCTTTGCCCGACCATCTTTACTGAGTCACTCGTCGGTATTGATGAATCGCGGCCCTTGAGGATATCAGCGAGAACTTCGGTCGCTCCGCGTATTCGTTACGGGCCGTTGTGGCTGATGTCATTTAACGAAACACGATAAGATTGCCGGATTGTCGCAAGAGCGAGGTAAAATGGGACAAGGTAGAGGGAACGTTGGGGTAGAGGATGACCTGTACGCGTGTAAGTCTTTGTCTCTTTGGCTTTGAAGGGGGGTGAGCCTAGAAAGGGAGTAAGTTCGGTACGACGATTTAGGTCAAACCTTGTGTAATCGGCGTTGACATGACTGAAGAGTGTCGCAGTGACGCAAAGTCGCACGGGGCGGGCTCGTGGGCGTAAATGGGCCAGGGAGTCCTCTGCATCAACCTCAGATCCAGCGTAGAACAACGCGGCTTCGTCAGTGTGAGCATCAGATAACCTAGCGAGAGGGCGAGACAACTTCGGATCCAGCGTAAGAGCAACGCGGCTTCCTTGGAGGTCTTGAGAAAAGAAGAAGAAGACGTCCTCTGCATCAACCTTAGATCCAGCGTAATACAACGCGGCTTCGTCGGTGAGCATCGATAGACAGAAAGGCGAGGTGCTTCGTCGTCCCAGCATCAGATCCAGCGTAAACAACGCGGCTTCGTCAGCAAAGAACGAGTCCTCTGCATCAACCTCAGATCCAGCGTAATACAACGCGGCTTCGTCAGTGAGCGTCAACAGACAAGCACGAATGGTGGTGCGAGCGGATGTTGTGTTGTGGGAGACATGGTGTAGTCAGGGCAGAGTCGACGCACTGAGCGGAGGTGAGTGTCGTCTCTTGGAAGGAGCGGCCTCGACCCATAGAGGCCACACCCAACACGTCGGCAAGAACTCTCGCTCAATAGCCACCAGCATAGAAGTCAAGATTGCGCAAATTGCGCAAAGAATATAGTACCAACATGAAAGATAATGGTCGTCGAGCATTGCTGTAGGATTTCTGTACAGACTCTACCACCTCCTTAGCATGCTGCGGCAGGGAAATAGCAGCGTATGGAGATACGTGTTGTGAATACTCTAAGTATATTACTAGAGTTTCTACGAGATTACAAAACTAAATGTTGAAGCTTAATGCAACGTTTAGCGCCAAGTTGTTTAAATGCAGGGAGAGACGAGTAGGGTAGATGTCCTAGAACGCGCGACACCAGAAATAACGTAGCCTAACCCCTCGGAAATTCTCAAATATTACCAGTCTTTCAGAGCTCAAGCAGACGTCAGATACATCACGATCTATGTATAAGGAGAAATAAGTAGTATGTTTGCATAGATGTCTAACCTTTAGTTGCTTCTCAACTATCTCTCAAGTATCTAAAAAAAGGGCCTGTTCGGTGCAGCTCCAGTTCGGCCCAATTAGGCTCCAGTTTGAAACTGGAACTGGAACTGGAACTGGAGGGCCTGTTCGGTTAACTGGAGGTCTTGGCCGGTATAACTGGAAGTCCAGTTTGTTAGCAAAATATAGCGTAAAAAACCTATGCTTCGTGCTTACATGCCCTAAAAGTTAACCACTTTCAGCCGAACTGGAACTTAAGATGGAACTTAACCTCGTGAGCTCTATTTCCAGTTCAAGTACCAGAAAATCACGTGATATTATGCCCAATACTATCAAAGAGCTGGTGAACCGACTATCTTATTAACAGATAGTATCTTGATGCTATAGAAATTAGATCACGTGATATTATAATTTTGCTAAGAGGAAGATGAGGGTGCTACTGGTAAAATTGCTTCCGAACGCCTGCTCCAGTTCAAAACTAATTTGGGCGTAGTGCTGGAAAAATCCGGCCCACATCTGGCTCACGCGAGCCTTACCCAAACAGTCCGAAAAACTCCAGATTGATCTGGAGACACCGAACAGGCCTTAATAAAAGTGAGGCAAGACCTTAAGAGGTAGATTCAAGCATATTTATAAAAAATAGTTCAAACTTTTCCAGATTCTCAATGAGCTGTACTTGAATTTCTTCAAGAACTGCTTCTTGGATGGCTATAGATGCTACGCTAGGAAAATATAGAAGATCCATATAAAAAAGGACATGTCCGACACCGGAACCCCCCTCACCCCAAAAAAAGGTCTCTCAGACGGAGAATCGAACTCCGGCCTCCTGCGAGTTGTTCCTGCTAGGATTGACAAGCAGAAATACTGACCACTATACGATCTGAGACGGCTCTGAAGATATCAGAAGATCTGGTGTGATTGATGGATGTTTTTGAAATTATATGCGATCTATACAGCGTGTACGACTACAGAACTGGCAACAGGAAGGCGAGTCACTGTTTGATAGAAACGGAGAGAATTGTGAAAATATTTTGGGCTGTCCGTGCCGGTGGCGGCCGACGGGGACATGAATAATGCTTAAGCGACTACAGGGTATACGCTACGCTACACGAAAAATTGACTGGACAAGACAGACTAGTAACAACTTCGTGATATAAATGCTTGAAAGTTGGAGGTGCAATCTTGCAGATGAGAAACAAGCTCATTCCTTGATTTGCACCAATTTCGCCGATCCAGGCGCATCACCCGACGAGTCGTCTCGGTGAGTTTGGTCTTTGCCGTCCAGGACCTCGTTTTGCCCAAGCATCATATGCTCGATGTTTACCTTTGGTCCCGTGAACCATTTGTGCGCGGATACGAACCACCAAATGGTGACGAGGACCATGGGGCCTCCGTACACGAGACATGTCCAGTTCATGTCTGCTGCGCTGCGCACAAGTTAGCAACGCGGAACTTATCACAAATAACGAAGAGAGGGTCTTTTTACTCACGTCAAATCTGCACCTGTAACGCTTGGCAAACAGAGAATGGGAACCATGAGCGCGACAAAAACCGATGCGAACACGCCGATGGGGATGGAGAATTTGCCTAGATTCCATGGTCCAGGGCGGAACCTGCTGCCTACGAAGAAGACGCGGATGAAGATGGGTATAGTGAACGCACTACATCTCCGTGATTAGCTCTTCCATCTCCAACCTGGAAGGGTTTTGAGTACTTACACAAATGCTGAGATGGCGCCAATCGAGAACAGCGCACCGATAGCCAAATCGCCACCGAAGATAAGCAGGAGCAAAACAATGCCAATGGCACAGTTAAACCACACCGCATTCGCCGGGGTTTGCGTGTGCTTGTTGACTCTTTTCCAGTACTTGCTCAATGGGAAGCAATCGTCGCGTGCGTACGCAAACGTCACTCTCGACGCCGCGATCATACACCCTTGGCCCATCGAAAAGCCGGCGATAATCGTCAGCGCCAGAATGGCAATCGTCATTCGCTGCGTCATGCACTGCATAAGATATGCAGCGAATGGCTGGCCGAGCTCAGAGTCCAAGACTGCTTCGATATCGACAACTGTATATGCCACCACGAGCTGGAGAAACCAGCCAAATATGCCGCCCGTTGCTGAAGTCAACACGATGGCGCGCGGCGACGCGATATTGGCGTTTGAGCATTCTTCGGCCAAGTGGAACGGGCTGTCGTAGCCGCTCATGGTCCAGATGACGCCGATGAAGCTCATCAACACTGCAACACCGGGTGGAAATGATGTTCCCTCGTATATTGTGCCCCAGACCTCTCTGGATGGTGTAAAGCGAGGCAGGCCGCGCGAAGTGCGGTCTGTGCCGGCTGGGATCAAGATGATGACTACGATGAGGGCGAGGAAGTTGAATGTTGAGCCGGCGCTGTTGAACTGAGCGAGCCATTTCGTGGGCATGGAGCTGAGAATGGCGTGGAGGATCATGATGAAGACGGTGAGGAGGAAGACATGCCAGTCTTTGGGGATGTATTCAGGGTTGTTGATCGAGGCTGCAGCTAGCATCATGGCTGATATGCCATCTAAAAGTAAGGGTACAAAGTCAGTGCATGTTTTCAATGTATGAACAAAGAACTTAGTCTAAACAGGTCAAACATACTGTTATTTGTTAGTAAGGGTCTGAATGGAGGGGAAGATACATGTGAATCGCCCCTCGTAGAGGGTCTCAGTTGCAGCCACTTTGAGAGACGGTTCACACTCTGTACCAGGGCTTTTGTACCAATTAACTGAGCATCTTGTTAGTCTTCAATACCAGAAACAAAGAATCCCAACCATTACCAGACGGCGCCGCAGTTACTTGAGCGCACCAATTCGACCAGCCAGTAATCCACGCAGCGAACGGTCCATAGCCTTTCGGAGCCAGCACCGCAGCCGCATAGTACAAGCCTCCGCTCGTAGGCATGCTCGAGCACAGTTCCGCCATGCTCATTGCAACACACTGTATCCCAAGCATGGCGATTATCCAGCCCCAAGTCATACCAGCGGTACCCGCATATCCCATTCCATAGAACAGCGTACTCGCAAAACTAGGCAGCAATCCCAACACAGCAAAGCTCACGCAGAACGTCGTAAAGAGGGAAAACTCTCTCTTGAATTCGCTCTTATACCCCAGCGCAGCCAGCATCTCCTCGTCCGCAGAAAACGCATGGCTCGGATCGAACGGCACGTCGCCGTCAGGCAGGACAGAGGTAACGGGTTCCTCAGCAACGGAGCGGCTCGTCATCGTGGGGAAAAGCAAAGTAAAAAGGAATCGTTTATCACTCTACGATTTCCGCATGCGCATCGGGTATACCGACGAAATGTAAAGTTTGCGACTGATTCGCACATCACAACCATGCGCAGCACAGCGGTGCAACCCAATCTATATAAACTACAATCATCCCCCAATCATCTTATTGGCAGCAATGCATGAATGCGCACAACTTACGCTGTGCGGACTAGAGCCCGCGTTGTGGCCCAGCTATCAAAGGCGGGGAAGAACGCGACCGCTTCTCAGCCATGGGTTGCGATAGGGTTCAGCGGGCGGGCGAATGACGACAGAGCAGAGGGTTCGGTTTGCTATCTTGGTTATCAGTTGGGGTGGGGATTCGCCTAAGCCCGGTCGACGGGCATAGGATAAGGATGGTGGGTAGCAGGGGCTAGTTGCTTTAAGCGATTGAGGGAGGGACAAAGACGTGCGAGATGGCTGCAGGTGGTTGCGTAAGTGGGTGGTCGGTGAGCAGCCACGATAAGCAGCCACTTGGGCTTGAGAAGTCAGTGACATGCTGTTCGAGGTGTTTGAAATGGAGTGGCGATGTGGCAGGTTGGAAATGCCGTTGTGGTATGGGTACCAGGGTGTTGCACTATCTGAGGCGAAATACGCATGTCAGGTAGATCCTCTGTTATCGGCTGGACATGCTGCATTGGGCAAGTCCTTGTTTGAGCTCGATCACTGTTGCTGTGTAGGATAACGATAGTCAAGGAACATTCATGGGCATTTGGTGACAGTGCAGATTTGCTAAGACGACAGAGCTTGCGGACACCTGCTCTTGTACCATCCGTTCAACGGATTGACAAGCACTATCATTAGTGTCTATCTCGAAGTGGAACTTCAGTAGCTTCAGTAGTAGCTTGAACCCGGGGCATAGTCTGACTTGGTACCAGGAAATGCTCCTGCAGGCGGACTCCGTTCGTCCTCGTCCGCACTATCTTCTTCATCACCCTTGAACATCTCGCTAGGATCCGGCGGCGCTCTCATGCGGATAAGGGCATCCTCGTCAAGCGCTGGAACGACAAACATCTTCGATGTATGGTACTCCCTACCTGAGGGCATGCTTGCCAGCAATGGCTCTGATGGAGGAACAAGCTGAACGCCAACCTACATAGATGAGCAAACATATACACAAATATGGTACAAGGCAGGCTTACTGTGTCGTTCATCTTCTCCCACTTCTTCAGCAACATGTCAATAATTCGACCTTCTTCGAATTTGCCTGCATCTGTTCCCCAATCGACCCCTTTCTCAATCTTGCGATCTTCCCGCTTCTCTTGCCAATCCTTCTTCAGCTTCGAGAAGCCAGAGGATTTCTTCTCTTCGTCGCCTGTGAGTGACGCGAAGCCCAGCTCTTTCTTTGCACCTCGCAGCCAGGCAATGCCGTCGCCAGTCTTGCCACCACTTTCGGCATCGCAGGCCAAGAACCGGCATGCCTTGCCCTTTGCTGTTCGTCGGAGGTCATCGACATACTTTAACAACTCGTCGTCAATCTTTGACGAACGGCTTAGCATCGCCTGAGCTTTTGCTGCATGCTCAGAGGAGGCGAGGCATAGGCGTGCGAAAAGGTGTGCGCGGACTTTTGGTATTTCCACGGCCTTGAACATCCAGTCTTTGTTCTGCTTGTTTCTGTCCTCCAGGACCACTGCAGGATAGGGATCGTCCTTCAGCACCGTGATCAAGGTTGCTTCAGCCATGGTGAGTGCTGCCAGCGCGCCCATTGTCGAGGCCGAGATGTCTGGCGCTCCTGGCTGAGCATTCCACTGTCCAGCTCGATTGACCAAGTATGTGTGTATCGAGTTTGCATCGAGGAAGTGCTTCATCGAAGCTCCAATTGCTGTTGCGCGTTGCTCGGGTGAGGGAAGGGTCGCGTTGTAGAGAATGTGGAGCTGCGCGCGAGCTTGTAGACTGTAGACGTAGGCAAGTGTCGATAAGGTGAAGCAGAGCTCATTTTCAAGACTCTTCAGCCTCACTCTTGCTGGCTCGCGCCCTGGTATTGAAGATCCCAATGTGGAGCGCCATTCCACCTCCAGCTCTTTCACCAGCACCAGGTCGATCTCCTCCCCCGCACAGCTAGTCCCGCTCAGTCCAGCATCTAGCGCAAATAGAAACGGTATGTAGTCGTTCAGAGCGGACTGTACGGTTGAGAGATTCGAGGCTTGCGACGAGGGTGGAATGCGCTTGTGTCGCTTTAATACGTCGCGGACAACGCCGCGCGCAGTCGTCGCGCAGTTGGGCAACGATGGATGAGTGCTGCTGTTGAAGTAGTCGGTGAACGATATGCTCGAGGTAGTCGGAAGTACAAAAGGAAAAGGCATTGTAGTGTGGTGTTGCTGTGTCAAGCTGTTGATGCAGGTACGGAGCTATGGTGGGGTTAGAGGGACGAGCCTTGGCCTCATCATGTCTCGGGACAGAACAAGGACAATACAACGACACTGGTTGGATTTCGAGGCCTGATCAGTGAAAAAAAAAGGTTAGAGACACCACACAATGAGTTCTTCTGGATGTCTTGTGTGCAAAAGAGCAATTGCCTACTTATCCGCCTCGCCTTGGCTGGTATATGTACAGGTGAGCCAGCGCAGAAGGGCCCATGTAATCCTCGTGA